AACATCACTATCCTTCGTCTATCACAAAATTTACATCTTCCCAACTACAAGATGTCAACGACTGGCTTCTGTTAAGTTTTTGCACCACAAGCATCCTAATCTTCGCTGGGATCCTTTTTCCTCATAAATGTATCCACCAGACCACCTGGAGGTTCTCCAGTGGAATCTTAAACGCCCAGCTGGACCACGTCCTCATCAACCGCAAATGGCACAGATTGTTTTACCCGTGACTCACGTCAGGCGTGGCGTCTGCATTGATTCTGATCACCGTATGATCATAGCTGACTTTCATCCAAAAGTACCTGGTCGAATCGACGCCGTCTTGTTGAAACATGAGTTGCTCGATATTGACACCAAATGAAAATAGGGGAATGTTTTAATTGTTGGTTTTAATTCCATCCTTAGTGCCCAGTCGGGAAGTAGATATGTCGATAAAACGTCCGAAGACTACAAAGAAGCCATCCTTTCCTCAACGATGTACGTAATTAAGGTCAGAAAGAAAATTTTAGCCAAGTTGTCCGGAATCAAGGAGTTAGAGAAAAGAGTGCAAAAAAATTATTCAAAGAAGGAGTGCTTCAAACACCCTACTGCACCTTCAAAGGAAGCTCATCGCCATCTCGTTTGTGCAGTAAGCGAGTGCTACAGGAGGGTCATGCAAATTTGACTCAAGAAGGAAATCAGGATGATCGACGACAAGGCGAACAGAAAGGGTGAGTGGGGGAACAGTGTTCTAAGCGATGCGACAATTGTCAGACAAGCAGGGGACATGTTAAAGGTGTCCCTTAGCATGTCAGAAAGGGCGTCTCAAACATGTGTTCAAACTTTCCAGCAATTGCTCAATGACTACTCTCCAGATTCGTAATTTCCTACCGATAATTCTCTGCCAACACTAATGGTTAGTACAAATCCACCCATAAAACTAGAAATCCAAAAAGCCTTTGCTACGCCAAAAGGTGAAAAGGGCTATGTTGTGAATTTTTTTCCTGCGGAGTTAATTAAGTATCGTAGAAGGAAAAGGGTAGGAAAATTCCATGCTTTGTTTCGTCAAATATAGACCTAGAAAAGTTTCACTGGAGAAGGGAAGTGTGGAATAGTTGTTCCTATATTTAAAAGGGGTCAGGTTACCGACTGTTCCAATTATCGTGGCGTCACACAACTATCAACTGCGTGACAACTTTTACCTGGATGATCCTGAAAAGGCTGAAGCAGGCACTTGATGGGAGACCTCCCAATTAATGCAAGATTCCGGATGGAGTACTCATTATCCATCCAAATTTTCACTCTACGTGAAATCATTCAGCAATGCCGACGATTCGAGGTTCCTTGGTTTGCGAATTTCCTCAACTTTAAGGTCGCCTTTGAATCGTTGCATCGTCTACTGATGTGGAAAATCTTTAAGTGAAACAGGATACCATTTGCAAGTGATGTATTCAGGAACCATGTCTGCTGCTAAAGCTGAAACAGAGCTAGGTGAATGATTCCCTCTTAATTGTGGAGTTCGCCGTGAAGATGTGCCTTCGCCCTCATTATTAAAAATTGCTCTCAGTTGCCTTCAAAGACCGGAAATGGACGATTCGGTGAGGACGTTTCGGCTTGGATCGATGCCGTTATCGAATTGCAATCCTGGGCAGTTCTATATGGTTGGACTGTGGTCATCTTGATCAACAGTAACGTCCAACCACAAATCATATATCCATGAGAAGCTCTGCATGAGCACTATGTGAAACTTTCGTCAAACTGATGAATTTCTAAGATTCTAAGAATTCATCCATCAGCGGATGTTCATTAGCTACATAATTTTACAATTAGATAGGTACCAAAGAGTCTGTCAAATTGTCAATAATTTCACAAAATTTAAATTTGTGAATATAGTGGATGCTTAATGCTTAAAGCGGAATTTTTAAGGAAGAACAAGGAACTGATGCGCAAAACAATTTATTTACATGCAATATATGACATCAATGCGCCATTTCACAGTTATGCGCTAAGAATATAAAGTAAGTAATAATATCTCTATTATGAAAGTCATTCATAACGGATATTATGTATCATTCTCATCCCAATATTTCTTCAAGTTTACTATTGAAGGTAGAAAAGTGGAGTAATAAAATAAAACTGGAAATTTTAGAAATTCGTTATTTTGACAGATGTTTCACGTTGTGTTCACGTAGAGCTTCTCATAGATATGTAACATGGTGGGTTGGACATTACAGTTGATCAAAATGACCGTAATCTAATCACATTGATTCAAACGCTCGTCACAGGACTGCATGATGATAACAACTATCAGTCGGCGGGAAACGTCTCGCGACGAATCGTGGAAGATCGTTCAAAAACGGTCTCGTTCTAGCGGGAAGGCGCAGTTCAAGATGTCCACTTGGATATCTTGCTGACCTGCAGTATACAGGTGATACTTTTCTGGTTAGTGGTACGACGAGTGGGCTCTCTCACCTGACGTTTTCCGCTTGCAACACAGCTGTGAAAGCCGACCTCTCCGTTGACTCTCAGAAGTCGAAGTTGATGAGGAACACATCGGGCACAGCTGATTTAGAAGTGTAACAGGGAGGCAAAACTTTTCAGGAGGTTCACCAATTTCAGTACATCGACTCCATCATCTCCAGCGATTGCACTATCCAGCCAGCGTTACGTAGGAGAATATCCCTAGCTTCTAGTGCTTTCGGAAATCAGTCCAATATTTGATCTGAGAAAAGAGTTACTTTATCCATGAACATCTGCCTGCGACTAGTCTTTGAGAGGTAAGTATTATTGTGAGGCATCGTGACGGTTGTTGTAACAAAGGAGCAGGAAAGGCGGTTGAACTGCGTATGGCAACATCGGCTTCGAGGCAAAGAGGGTTAAATTGGCGGGGCTCCTAGGAATGATTCTATTTTCTTCCGGACACATGTGGCCTCGGCAGAAGTGGAGATTACGGATAGGATGTTGACCCTCTTGAGTACGCACCATTTCCCAACCAAGTGATTTTTGTATGTAGGTGCGGAAACAGCCGACGTCACTCAGGAGTCCAGCAAGCAACATGGAGGTATGTGGTGGTAGCGGATCTGACTTCAGAGTGATATATATCCTTCTTAGATGCATTGACAGATGCCTTCCAACAAAAGCGTTGAACAGCTGCGAATACGAGGACGTCACAAGCCATGACAAACGACTCAAAGTGATTATCTCAACAGATAACAAACAGGTCAGTATATTTTTGCATTTTTCAGATTTGAAATGTCAATTTATGATTAGTAACTTTACTTTTCTGGTTGCTTATGCTGTGGGCCATGGCGAGCTTTAAGGCGCACCCGTCATACAGCATGATCGTATATCTCGCATGCTCTTGTATAACCACGCCGGAACACCATGCTATCACTATTGTTCACCAGTCAATCACATGCTGTCTGTTTCTCAGCTGGTTGTGCAAACGTACGGCTGCACTAAAACTTTATTCAAAGAAATTTGCATCTGAGGGCACAACTACGTTTCAGTAGGAATTGATCCTGAAGCTTCTAACCTGCAAAGCCAGGCTACCGTCTACTTTGTCAGTGTCGCCAATTTTGTTTTAATTAGATTTAAAGTATAGCTTGAATTTGTAAAGAAATTATCTGACTAGTTTCAAACATCTCATCGACCTCGAATCAGTGGCTGGGCTAATTATGCACGAATATACTTTTCTTCTTCATCATCGTCAAAATCCTACGCTTATTTAATGCCTTCAATTCAGTTCAAAGCGAGTTATTAATGATCAAAGGCGTTTAACATCAGGCAAGCAACCCAATCAAAACGCTTTGAAAAAGGTTGGTAGCTTCTATGACTACATTAAGTTCTTGATCATCTTAAAATTCATAATCATGCTGCTGATTACTTCGACATTGAGTTATATTCATTCAATAACATGCATTCATTGCTTGTCCACTGATCCATTTTTTCAGGGTTACACCTTTTTGATTAACACATCGGATAGTCAGGTTGATCAAGGTGGATTGTAGCCAAATGCGGCATCATTCATTCATCCACCCTTTCATTCATTCATTTATTCATTCTTCCATTCATTCATTCATTCATTCATTCATTCATTCATTCATTCGTTCGTTCATTCGTTCATTCGTTCATTCGTTCATTCGTTCATTCATTCATTCATTCATTCGTTCATTCATTCATTCGTTCATTCATTCATTCATTCATTCACTCACTCATTCATTCACTCACTCATTCATTCATTCGTTCATTCATTCATTCACT